AGAGATACTCCCAAAACTAGCATGTCATGAAAATAAGAAAAGGAGACAAACTTGCAAAGAGATTTAGGACAGACGTTTAAAAAGGAGGTGGATGAAATCAACGATAAACTACACTACAGAGATCACCGATCCTTAGAGCACTGGCATTTAATATGTAAATTCCTTCTCTGCTTAGGTGTTTTGCCTCCCTTTGATGTACACAGACAAGTTCAAACTAGAGATGAGAACTGGGAGAGTTCTCTTTTTCCATTATCTCAAGATTTTTTCTTGTCTAAGCAACAGTTAAGTGCTCTAACTATATCACTTTTGTGTGTGTTCAGAGGGGAAAAGAAAAAAAAAACCACAAAAAAGAGAAGTATAACAAATATTATTAAAGGAGAGAGTCAATATTTTTCCAGCTCTGATGCAGATGTAAGCAACAAGCTGGTGCCCGACAGCTTTAGCGCAGCCTAGGAGAAGAGAAAGACAAGCTGAACAACAGAGGACGGTAAAGATAACTCTGGAAAAGAGCCAGATGTCTTGAGCTTAGTCCTACTGCATGAAAAATTAAAGAGGTTAAAACCTCCTCTTAAGAACTTTTCTTCCCATTGTTCTGACCACAATTCTTCCGAACAAGCTGCATTGCTCCAGAAACCCCAAGAATTACGGTGACAATAGATTCCTGCCAAGAGAAGCACCATTACATAATAGCTTTTATGGGAACACGCACAAAAAGCCACTAGGAAGCGCAAATAGACAAGTGCAAGATCCTCTCTGCCCATCGGCTCAGTTTAGCTCCTGACTACTTCAGGATATTCTTCATTTATGTATTTACTTCCTCTCATCCCCTTCCACTCAACAAAATCTGTGTTACTGTAACTACACTGAGATCACGTCCATTCCCCACAATAACGTAACCCCCTTGAGAATACGCCCACTTGAAACTACTGTATTTGCATTAATCTGTTTAAAAGAACACTACGAAGATGAAAAACTGTGTCACTATTTCCATTAGTATTACAGAAATAAGAACAATTTATTATGGTATTTTTCCATCCTTTACCCAATTTTAGGGATACTTAGAACAATTATTACTCGTCAGTTCTGAGAAGCCTAGGGCTATTTTTGAGTTCCAGGTCTTCCACAGGGGATTTACAATAGATTTGTTACATGCACACGTAGAGGCTCAGCCTAAGCACTGCACACGTGTAAAGGCAGCTGCTAGGGAAGCTCTGACCTTTGGACAGCGTTAAGGAACCATAAAGAAGAAAGCAAAGGCAAAAACCTAACAAACACAAAGTTTCTCACGTTGAATTGTCCGCAGCAGTGCCTCCACTAGCACCGTCATCTCAGACACCACTTTCCCTGTGTCTCCCTACGCACCCAAAAGCTCTAGGAAAGGAAGAAGAGTAGACAGTGGCGAACGCTTATATCCGCTGTTACTCAGGGGTTTTAAATCCTAGAGAGGTTCATCCCGCACCAAGCGAATCCTCACGCCCGAACACACACACACACACACACACACTTTAAGACCGCTGACCTCAGAGAAAGCCCAGCTCTGCCGTCACCACCGACCACCCGCCGCTGTGACACGAGGGAGCCGCAGGTACCACAGGTGACATTATGTAAGGGAGGCGGCCGGCCGCCGAAAGGCTCCCGCCGCAGCCCCGGGCACCGCGAGCTCCGTGCGGGGCCGCAGCCGGGCAGGGCTCCCCGCGGGGGCCACCCGGGGGAGCGCCGCCGACACCTTCCGGCTCCCGGCCCCGCCGCCCGGCCCCCACCCAGCACACGCTCCACGCTCCCCGCTCCCCGGCGGCGGGCCCGGCTCCGCGCCCCGCCGCAACCAGCCCGCCGCAACCAGCCCGCTGCCCCCGCCCCGCGCCCCGGCGGCCCCTGTTCTGCGCGCCCTCCCCCCCAGCGGCGCCGGCGGGTGCTCACCGGGCGGACGGGCGGGCTCGGCGGGCGGGCTGGGGGCGGCGGTGCCGCTGGCGCTGCAGGTCGGCGGCCGCGCGCCCCGGCCGCCCCGGCGTCTCGCCCGCCCAACGCCCCGGCCGCCGCCGCCGCGCGCCAGGCCCCGCCCCGCCCCGCGAGCTGGGCCCGGCGGCGCGCGGGGCGGGGCGGGGTGGGGCGGGGCAGCACTTAAAGGAGCCGCGCGAAGGGGCGCGGCCGGAAGGGGGCGCTGCGGCGCGGCCCGCGGGGGGCGGAGCGCAGCGCGCGGCCCCTGCACTGGCACCGGCACCGGCACCGGCAGCCGCCGCCGCTGCTACGGGACGGGGCGCAGCGTCCCGCACCGTCCCGCCGCATCCAGCCACGGCCGCTGCTGGAAGCCGGCGGGGACGCTGCGAGCCTCCACGCCTCTCCGCGGGGCGGCGTGCGGCTGCACGGACACGTGGCGCTCGCTGTCGGCCCGGCACCGGGAAACAGCGGCTGTGAGAGAGCTGGAGCCCTCTCCGGCCTTGTGCCGCTCTGTGGCGGAGTAGAAGCGGCTCCGTAGCAGCAGGGCAGAAGGGTGTTGCAGAGCCCCGGCCGTTCCCTTGCGCTCCCAGCCCCTTCTCCCGGGCCGCGGGGGCAGCGCACGGTGAGGGTGCCCCTTGGCTTTGTCGCGGCTGCGGAGCCGCCCCAGAACTCGGGCAGTGCGGGGACTCAGCCATGGGCACGCTACTGCCAACTTGCCACAGCGGCACAGAAGCCGTGGCAATGCTCTTGCAGCACGCACTCCTTGCCCTGTCCCACCGGCTCACCTGCTGGCACGCCCTTCGTCACTCCGCTGGTGACGTGTGTACACGAGTGTGGTAGCACAAGCCACGGCAGGGTCCGTCCTGCTGTGCAGCACCAGCACAGCCACAATGCTGGCTGAAAGGTGCACGGCTGGGCTGTTGCAGGAGGTCACGCTCCTGCTCCCAGGGGTTTAGTGCATACAGGTGTAGGGGGGTGCTTACACCTTCTTGCCACCTCCTCTCTCTTCCTCTGCTTTTTACAGATTCTCCCGAGACAACACTCCTGTATCCAAAAGCGTCTTCAGGGATCCAAGGAAGGATTCCTTGCTTTGCTTTCCTTTCTATTGCTTGAATTAACACCTACCTTCTATGTATCTGCTACATTATTCATATTTTGCTGCGGAGACTGAGCTGTTCTCCCCCTTATATGGGGAAGGAACCATATGTAGTTCTATCGGAAAGGTGAAGGGAAGTTTACCCATTTTTCTGCAATAGTACAGTAATCATTCATAGTAAAAGCCCATAATAGGTTATAGCTTATCAATGGCTTACCATCATTTCATCAGATGTAGGAGATGACTGTGATACATCACAAAATATTCCCTATAAATATTCCCCTTGTAAGCACTTCAGCACCAAAAAGCAGGAAAAAACTACATCATCATCTGGAAAACATGCTTAAAGGCAGGAAGGAAGAGTGGGAGCTAGAGCTGCACACAAACCTGCTGATTCACACAGCTGTTCTTTTTGTGAAATCTCAGGTGCAAAGTTGGAAGGCACAGAGTGAAAATATCGGCCTATGTTTTGCTGTGCTTTGATCAATTAGTGCAGCTGTCCTGAGCCTGAAGGAAAAGTTCAGAAACCTTTGTACTTCTGAAATAAAAGAGACGTGAGGAGGCTGCCACAGTACTCCCTCTGCTCATGGCATTAATGCACAGAGAAAGGTGCAATTCCCGGCAAATTCTCACTAAAATGATCTCTCACTAGGGGCTGATTCATCACATTTTTGGCTTCAGCCAGTTCAACTTTTTTAAACACATTGAGAGATCCTTTTATGTCTGTGTTATACTTGGTTTCCATAATTTTTATTCATACGTATTTCTCTTTATAACTGTATCAAGCCATAATAAAAATCACTATGTTCTTCCTTTGAGGCCTCAGATACACTAATTTGGCTGTGCTTATTTTTTTGTTTGTCGTGGAATCACAGAAATCAGCATTTACAGACCATCTTAAATGTCCAAAGTATCACACAGACCTTAACTAATGCCTTTTACATTGGATTTGCCACACTGCATCAGACAACCAGCCAGTCTAATTCAACATCCTATTACCAGCAATAGCCAACTGCCAGTGCTAAATGCCACTAACTGCCCCCAAAACAATTTGCCCTCTTCCAGGGAAATGCCTCTGACTGACTGGTTCCAATTTTTTCAGGCTCCAGGTTCTGAAGAAGAAGATGAAACATTTTCTCTTTATTACATGTGTCAATAAAGGAAGGTCGGGAGCTGCCACCATCAGAGCACCTCTCCCCAAGGCACAAAGCTTAAAGACTCAACCCAGGTATTTTGGCATTACTTTCCTAATGTTCACTTTCAGGTTGCTTGAATGGAGATGAAAATAAATAATTCATTGAAACATTTAATTTTCAGTAATAGAAATTTTAAAGCATAAAAGCTGGCAAACTCCACCTGAAGGTCAAAGCATGCTTATCTTATGTGGCCCCATCTGATTAAACAGTTAATTTCATATCCAATGGTTATGGATGTTGCTTTTACTCTACAGAGGGAGTTTTACTATCACATAAGTCTTAGTCCATCAATACACTCCTTTCTGGCAGAGACACTGATGGGATTTGGTCAGACTCAATAGCACAGGGCTGGGGAAAAGGGCAGCCCATTCATGGGAGCAGTGAGATATCCCACATCACACCTTGCCCTGGTTCTTTTGGCAAACCTGCAGCAGTGGGATGGCAGTGGAAGCTGGGCTGGAGAGGACATGTTTTATAACAATATAAAACATCTCTCATAGTGATGCAAAGGTACACTGTTCTGCACACCTTGACAGACCCCACAGAGACAGTTGCTGCCCTCCAGATCCAGACCTGCCACTGGATTTATCAGATAAAAGAAACATATTTTTAATCCCAGACTTGAAATCTGTACCCTGCCAAAAGCCTTTCACAACCTTGTGAAAACAAATGGTTCTTCTTACCCTTCTGCACACATCTGCCCATTCCTTCCCTCCTGTGGTGGACTTCTATAGTAGGTTGACACTGGCTGGATTCCAGGCACCCACCAAAGTCCCTCTGTTGCTCCCCTCTGCAGCTGGACAGGAGAGAGAAAATATAACAAAGGGTTCATGACTTGCAATAAGGACCAGGAGAGATCACTCATCAAATACTATCATGGACAAAAACATGTTAGAATTAGAGATATTAACTGAATTTATTAGTAAAAAAATCAGAGCAGGATAATGAGAAGTAAAACAAAACCTTTGAAACACCTTCTCTCCACCCCTCCTTTCTTCCTGAGCTCTACTTCCTCCCCCAACAGAGCAGGAAGACAGGGAATGGGGGTTATCACCCATTGCCTCTCATGCTGCTCAGGGAGAGGAGTCATTCCCATGTTCTACTGTGGGTCCCTCCCACAGGAGACACTTCTCCATGAACTTCTCCAACCTGAGTCCATCTCACAAGCAATAGCTCTCTGCAAAGTGCCACAACCTGAGTCCATCCCACAGACAACCGTCCTGCTCAAACTGCTGCAGTGTGGGTCACTCTTCCATGGGATGCAGTCCTTCAAAGACAGGCATTACCACCATTTCTAACTGGTGGTTAGCCTTGACCAGAGGCACCAGAGACTGGCTCTGCTGGACATGGAGAAGCTTCTAGCAGCTTCTCATAGAAGTCACCCCTGTACCACTCCCCACTGCTACCAAAGCTTGGCCATGCAAACCCAAAAGAACTTCAGAAGTTATTGAACTCTTTTCAGATGCCACATATCTAACGTGACTACAATTGCAAGGTAACTTCACTTCTGAGAGAAGCCACAGATAAAATACGATTTCTGATGGTAGTGCTCAGCTAGAAAAGGTCTCATGACAGTCTAAGCACTATCAGAGGGGAAAAATCATAGTCTAAGAGATAACGTTACTTCAGGCTGTCATACAATCTATCCTTGGCTGTGAGCCTTGGTAATGTTACCATCCTATGTGGCCTCCTTCTCCCCAGCACTGTGTGCCCCTGCAGACAAAGAGGGAGTGCTGTGCCTGCTCCATGCTGTTTGTTCCCTCCTCCATCCTGCTGTCCAGCCAGCAAACCAAAGGACTAAGGCAGCTTCACTCTAAGGACAGGCTGCTACAGACACCCTGAGCTCCCAGCTCAGTCATCAAAGACTTTGTGGCTTCAGAGGACTCTCTTACAAACCCTTTTTTCTCAAAGAGAGCTCTTACTGCTAAGATGCAGGAGAGCTACTCATATTTGTCTGTTTCCATTAACCCCCCACATCCAGATTCCAGTGGGAAAGCAGCTAGCTGGCATCACACCAGAGATGCCTTTTGTTTCTAGGAACTGCCAGCATGCCAGGTCTCATTCTAGCGAGCAGCATCTCCCACTTGGGCATACATGACAGCCACACACACTCGTGTTTCTTTGCCTTCTTGCTGGTAACAATTCTGTGACCTATTCATTGGCAACTTGTTTGAAACAGAATTTGTGCAGGAATAAATAAGTTTTTAAGTGCTTTTGAAATCCTCAAAGCCCATTAGCCCACTATATCTCTCTTGTTTTGCCTTTGTTTTTTCCCCACTTCCTTCTGCACACATCTCCTGGTCTGCTAGCTTTCAGTTACATTTCCATTATACACTGGAACCCATGCACATTTTTGTGTTTAGCAGGGCATTGTTCATTATTAATATTCAGAGTAGATGTAAATAGAGCAGCTCATCTCCAAAAGACTATTAAAGCAACATGGGAAAAACAAGAACAAAAGAGAAATCTTGGCACCCCATCCACTCTTTTGCCTTCCTAGGGCACTTGAATTCACAGTCTACTGATGAAGAACAGGTAAAGCTAAACCTGGCTATGAGCATCATCGTTGCCATGACATTTCCCTTCTTGGAGTACCACAAACATACACTGCATTAAGAGATTTTTTTCTTTCTGTGACTTGAAATGCAGCATACAGTTGTGGAGCAGTCACCAGGGCTGTTATGCTGTCATGGGTGCCAGAAGACTCAACTCACAACCTGGAGTTTATAGGGATTTGGGTCTTGAAGCTGCACTACATTTCTTCTGTACATATAGGCCTGTACCAGAGAAGCTCAAAAAAAAATCATCTCCTGGAAACTATCCAGAGCTTTTCTCTCTGAGGGAAACAAACGAGGCCTTAATTAATTTTCTTTCAAATACAGCAAATTGACTTCTGCTCCAGTTGTGCTAGTTTCAAGCCACACAGCACAATGGTATTAATTCCACTTCACTTGAGGGCTAAATGTTCAGAGCAAGGAAAAGGGAGTTTCCTGCAGGTCTTGCTATGGTTGAAGTCAACAACCAAACCACCCTGGTTTTTGCAGGAGTGGTTTCTTCAGAGTCTGCATTTCTGAGGGCAACTGTGACATGTCCCTGGGTTAGCACAGCAAAATGCAGGATACATGAAAGGCACTGGCTGAGCAAATTGCCTGGTCCTTTGCATATTTTTAAAAGTCAGCCACATCCTGCCTCAAATTTCATTTTACAGGCTCAAAGATAGAAGCACTTTTAATGCCCTGTCCTAAGGCTAGCTTACTGGTTCACTGATCATCCTAACTAGCCCTGCTGTCCCAAACTTAATTTAATCATTTTTAACACCAGAGTCTTGCCTGCAGGATTTCCCAACACTTGAATAAAACACAAGGTTCTGCACAAGGTCTCCTCAGTACCTTGCAAACCAGTGGTGTACTCCCTTTCTATCAGAGACACTTTGCCCAATAAACCAGAAGATCACATTTGCCTTCTTAGCATTTGCTTCATTTGGGTACAATCAGCACCTACCCCATGTTCCAGAAAATGGCACTCAAATGCCAGCAGAACAATTTGCCTGGACACAGTGCCACTGTACAGCAGCCATCCTGCACAGGTATCTCACTGTGGTGTTCTTCAGTGCCATGGACCTGTATTAGCACCATCTCGTGAATCTCATCCCTACACTGTGCTAAAAAGCATGAGAGTTGGAAGAAAAAATTTTACAAGAAAACCCAAATCACTGAGTACAGTGAGCCTGGTTAGTTCAAAGAGAGAAACTGCAGGATCTGAACTAAATACACATATATAGGAAGCACCAATTCTACAAAACTGTTATGGTAAACTATCCATCCTACCCCCTTTAGTATGTTCAATGACACAGTAGTTGCATCACTGCTTATGTGTTACAGTAAAGAGGTAAAGGAGATCAAAGAGGATGAAGGACAAGACCTCCTTCACCATAAAATCCTGTAAGCAATTTAAGTTACCTTCCAACCATCTTAAAATCCTCCCACTGCCAAGTTTATCTAATACATTTAATAAACAGCTTCATATTATTACATCGACTATGCACTGCTTAGGGAAGGTGCTATTATTCCTCTTCACAGATGGAAGAGGGTGGTACAGACCCCACAGATACCAACTCATACCATTTGCATTGTAAAAAAGTGACAGGCAAACAACCAAACCTGTTCCTGTCTAATACCCATTGTTCTCAACCCTTCCTTCTTTCCAAAAACATCATGTTCCATGATTTCCCAAAAAGCAGCCCAATTTTCTCTCACCTTCTCCTCTGTCAACTCTGAAAATTAAATTAAGAAAGTCAGGCATCTCTTGACTAATTCTTCAAAATTCAGGGTAGCTGTAGAAGTGTTTCTATTACAGAGTAGGTTAAAGGACATTTGTTAACTTCTTGGATTCCCACCTGTTCTTTCCACATGACTTTGCATTGTTTGGCTACATACAGACTCTGTACACCTCAAGAAAGCAGCAAAACTTAATTTTATTTTCTTTATATAAAAATCAGCCCTTTTCAAGCTGCATACTAGAACTACTGTCTGCTGACTACTGTATTTTCTGAGGTAACATCTGCCATAAAAACTGATTGCAAATATGATCAGTTAGGAAGATTTTCTTCTAGCAGTCTTCCAGTTGGCTTTATTCCCAGAAGTCAGCCCAATGGAAAAGAAAAATCTATTTGGCACTGTCTCCAGCTGCAATTACTCATTCTTCAGGTAGAACAGTTTCCCCCCTTGGGGAGGTTTTGCTGACACGCGATTCAGATGATGGGTTCTGAGCTGCACTGGAACTGGTATGGCCTCTGGGATTCTGGAGAGGTGCTTTCTGATGCCTAAGGAATTCAGAATGCCAGCTCATGCTGTAAAAGAATAATAGAGGTTATCCCCCCCTCCAAAGTCTAAGCATATAACTATAGGTATAACTTGAGGAATTTAAATGTAATCCTATCATTATGGGTAGCAGGCTTCAGCTGCAGACATTCACCCATAATTAAGCAGAATTATTCATAAGGGGCTTTGGCCAAAGTCATGGCAGCGTTGGTAGCTCAGGTCATTGTTCAAACAGCAGGGGCAACTCAGGCCTGGGCTGCCTCCTGTGGACCTAATGTGGGAGAGTGATGCAACCCTGCCCATGTGTGTTCACTTTGCCTCTATGAGTGGGATATTTGTCTTCCAGCTCTCCTGAATTCAAGAACAGGCATCATGGGTTTAACACCTCTCTGCCTTTCTCCTCAGGTTATGATAGACACCAATGCAGGCTGAGTGCATTGGCCCCATATACATCCTTTACATTCCATAAGCATGGGTGTATGGATAACAAAACAAGGAAAGGCCCAGCTTCCAACTCCTGACCCCTCTCATGCCCCCTGCTGTTCATCACCGCCAGACAAGAGCAAAGAAGCAAACAGCAAATCTTTTCCTTCTGGCTGCCAGCTCCTTGGCACAGCACCACCAGGAAAGACCAAGTACAATCTAGGAATGGAAAGGTAGCTCATATTTAAATTGGAACATTAAATACTGTATCCTAGAATACTATGTTCTGATGTGGCTTCCGATAGGTGAAGGAGGAGTGATGTCAGATTTTTGCAGTTCTAAAAATACCTGACACAATCCAAGCAGTGGTGAAGGTAAAGATCATACAAAAAGAGAAATAATCTTACTATTCAGCTAATAAACACCTCAGATTAGTTAAAACAAAAATAATTTAAAATCTCCACTCCTAATCTGACAGTTTGTTCTGTTTGATTACACTTTGCATTTTAATTCCCTGGAAGAGCATCACCAGCACTGTCATATTTCCCACTGTTTTTTAATAGTTTCATGTTGTGATTTCCAGGCTGTGCTAGAATAAATAGCGCAGCTTGGAAACTGAAGCAGCATGCAAGACTGATCATTTGCTCAAAACCAAGTTTTCAAGTAAATGAATGGGATATATTTCAGCTTGAAAATGTAACCATGCAGCATTAGGATGTACCCTTCCTGTTGAGTTCACACTCAGCTGGCACTTGCTTGTTAGAGACAATTCTGGGTCACTGCACTAGTTGTATATGGATAGTAGCTCATGCACATGTAGTTTGCAGTCCTGTATGGATCACTCCAGAGGTGTACTCTGACCTCTTATAACAAAGACAATCCTCATGCTCATTTCAAGTATTTGTTTACCTCATCTGAAGTGTGCTCTATGAACTTGGGGCCAAATCATCCATGATTCACCGTGTGCAAGGACTCCATAACTCCCTCATGACCCACGAGTTCTCTAAAGAAGCCAAGCCTGACCAGAAGAACTGTGTGCATTAGGTTCAACACCCACACCTGAGGTTTGGTTTCTGCCAATATATGCCAACGTTGTAATAATTGCTCCAGAAATAACCACTGACAACAGAATATCTTGAAGACCAAATAAAATCTACCCTCACCTCTATACTTATTTTCATGGAAATATGCAGTGACTAGGTTTTTTTTCCCCTCATTTTCTCTGCCAACCTACCATATTTTTATTCAAATAGCCCTAGTAACTGACTAGGTTTACCCAAATACAAAACTACCGCAGATGTGCCAAACTTGCACAAAACCAAATCGAGAGCTGTTCAGCACGACCCCAGGAAAGCATCTATGCAGCAAGACTGCTGCCAGTCCTCAATATAGAGAAAGATAACTCTCTGCAGATCCTTTCAGCCAGAGACCAACACAATCTTTTCATTACTGAGAACTGACTGGTTTCAATGAGACAGCAAACAGCACGGACATCATGGTGTTTCCCAGCAAGAGGAACACAAACAACACCTTACCATCATCACACTGGCCTTAGACTCCAGCTTTATATCAGAGTGAAGATACAGTATTTGCAATGCAAGTCTGTCCCTAGTGGCTGCCAAACATTCTGCCTCTGGCAGTAGCCCTGTGCATCGCCCCCCACCGTATGTCACCATTCCCAGCTACCACCTCACACCCATCTCTTCTCTGTTTCACTGCTCTGTGCATCTGCCCCAGACAGAAGCTCCATTTCCCTAGAGACTCTGACGAGGGCCAGCCACAGCTGACAACACTAGGCAAAGCCTCTGGGCTGTGAGCAGTGGGGACAGTGCCTCAGCTTCGGGCAGTTACTCTGAAGTCTCTCAGGATGCTGTGCACTCACCACACCAGAAGAGCCTGGCAGGGGGCCACAGAGGAGGAAGGCCTTGGCATGTCTCTGTGGCAGCAGGAAGAAAGCAAACACCCATCCTGCCACCCATGGAGGAAAGGAAAGGCAAGCTGTGCCAGAACTGCAGGCAGAGCAGAAGCACAGAGTGACAAAAACCAAAGGTAAAGCATGAGAAATATAAAAAAGGAACCAACACTGAAATCTCACAGAGGATTTTGGCTTTTGTCAGGTTGTTACAATGACCTTGTGACATGCTGGGCTTTGGACCTTGGCTCTCAGGCAAGCCCAATATATAAAGTCAAATGGGACCTCATGTTCAGCATTATCACATAGCAGGCTGTAAAATTACTCAGGTGGATGGCATGTGACAAGTAGCTGTTCAAAGGGAAGGAACCAGGGATACCATGGCATGGGGATCAGTAAAACATTAGACTGAGTGCCTCATTAAAGTTTTAAATTAGTGTTTAAACCATCCAGCTGACAGAGAAGGTTGTGCTGGGGAGGCTCTGGTGTGTCCTGGGAGAGGGGCAGGAGCTGCATCTGGGCAGGGAAGGGACATATTTGGGCAGATGCTTCGTGCCTGTGTCCTAGCAGCAGCTAGGAAGAGAAGGGCAATATGCCTGGGAGATACCAGCAAAAATTGTGTCAGAGGGCTCCTTACTCTCTTCTCTCCAAGGCTGTCACTTTCCCCTTATCCACAGGGCTCATGAAGGTGCAGGAATATTCTGGTGCAAAACCAGGAAGAGCCTAAGCAAGAGGGAATAGGCTGAGAGCTGAAGTAGCTACACAATAGGTCAGGGTCAGGGTCATCCCAACAACAATATAAAAAGCCTGAGACAGAGTAGAAATTGGAAAGTAGATGAAGACAGGATTCAACCTGGAAAACAAAGGCTATTTAGCAAGGAGGAAATAATTCACCAACTAACATTCCTCTTGGCAGAGAAGGGAAGACTTCTGGAAAGTCAAACTATATTAATCTAGCCTTGGGAGAGCTAGAAAATTAGAGAAGGAGACACAAAGAAATTAGCTAGAGAGGATGAAGGCAACACACCAGCAAGAGGAATTGCACACAGCCACCCTGCCAGGCAACACAGAGCTCAGTGCTGGGCAGGAACCCACTGCTCAGTTCAGGGGTGGCTACCGTGAGAGTCTGACACACTGGGAGGAGACAGAAGGTGATAGCTCCTTGTGCAACTATGGGGGATTGATTTGTGATGACAGTATGTGTTCTTTGTCTCTGAGGGGACATAGAAACAGTATACAAACATTTGTAAGGCATACGCCCAAACGAGTGCAAATTACTTAGAGAAGACAAAACAAAGACAGGGAAAACAGAAGCTGAAACTAACTCAAAAGCTTCTACCAAGGAGCTGTAGTAGGTTGTGAAATAGCTCTCATGAGGAGAGCAGAGAAAAACCCTGGTATGGGCACTTTTAAAGTTGGATGGGAAGAAAGTAAATAACACATGAGCATGAAGAATTTATTGAAGTGATAAAAACATTTCCACCCACTCAATCTGTAGTTCCAGTTTTCCACTGCCCCACATCTCTTGCTATCATTAGTAGCAATGCAAAACTGGAAAATGTTTATTAAAGCATAACCTTATAGTACTGCTCCACCTAAGCACACAGATTTCTAGACACATCTAGCCAACAGAGAATTAGGCTTTATAATTGTGTCTGGGAAAATGACTCACTAGCAGCCATCCACTTTAACTCCTCCAATGACCTCCTCCTTCCCCATCCCAAATCTCCTTTAGTCTTGATGAGGTAGGGATATGACCTACCTTGGATAGTGTTGTTAATGTCTCCTAAAGTCACATGCAGCTGCTTCTAAAAATCTCCTGATAAATCTCTTTCTAATTGCATTTGGCCACTTACAGGGCTCCCAAAGATCCACACGGAAGCCTGAAAAGATCAAGCCAAGCACAGTCCCGATGAAGGCTGAAATAGCAACATGCCAAAAGCTTGGAGGAGCCTACACCTTACCTGGCATGTACACTTACCAGCTTGATACTTCCCACGAGGAGGGAACATGGCTATAGCTTGACAGCTATGGTGCCACAAGCAAGTATTAATGGTTAGCTCCATCAGCCAGAAGGGTGGGCTCCTCAGACAGCAGAGCTGTCCCCTGGTCTGAGGATTTTTCATGTGACTAATAACCAAGCTTTATAGCGGTCCCTTGCAGACTATCATGATGATGAATGAATGAGATCAGACTAGTCAATATGGCTTCCTGGTGGAGTTTGCTCACTTGCCGTGGATGCATCATTACCCTGTGCATTCATTCAGCACAATCTTTGCCTGTACAATGTGAAATGACAACCAACCTGCAGCTCCTCCTTAGCTTTCTGCTAAGAACTCCCAAGCCTTTTTAGATCCTTCTTTTGCTCTGTATCCTTGTCCTGAGCCATCCTGGAAAGTCGTTTGATGAGTACCATATCCTTCCTTATTAAAGCAAAGCATATTAAGGCGTACCTGTAGAAGTTAAACGAGAAATTGCTAAAAAACATTGACTTCATAACACATTGACTAATGGTGCATTTACTACTCCTGTCCTCTGCCTGAAAAAATCAGAGTTGCTCCACTAAGTGGCACAGATGCTCTGCAGCTCCCCGAGCAGCAGTGATCCTCTTTTGGCTGAATGTTATTTCCAGAGCAAAGCATTTTGCAACTCCACTGAGGCTGTTGAGCCCAGGATTCCTGTAGAAACCAGGGATATTTCAAGGTAACTGGAAGGACCATATTCAAAGTGGGTACTCAAAAAGGTGTACTGTATTGCCTGACACATCTCTGCATCGAGCAATAACTTACTTACATTAGCACAAAAGGGATTAAGGTTTCATGGTTGGAAACTGAACCGAAATCTGAGAGCTTTACCATTCCTTTCCAGCTCTGGCGTAAACTCCCTAGGCAGCCCAAGGCAGGCACCTCCATCTCCCTAGGGCTCAGTTTGCCATCTGTAAAACTGGGTTAGCTGTTCTTTCTTACACCCGTTTTATCCTTGTCTATATTAATGGTAAATACAGATGGGCTTGTTCGTGTACAGGAACAGTGCAAAACAGGGGGCACGACCGTGAAAGGGCCGCTCATTTAGGGAAAGTCTGCAGGGAAAGACATGAGCGCGGAGGGGCAGGTGCAGGGCAGGACGCACGGATGAAGGGATGCGCACACAAGGAGTGGGGATGGATATCTTCAGGGAAAGATACTCTCCAGGCGGGCCGGGCGCTTACCAGCCACCCGAGCCAGCCCCGCGCCGCTCCCGCCGCAGCAGCGCCGAGCCCGGCCCCCGGCGGCGGGGAGGCGGGGGCGGGTCCCCCGCCCGGCCGCAGCGCTGCCCCCGGCCCGGCCCGGCGCGGCGGCGGGGCTGCGGGGCGGGCTCCCCCCGCGCCCGCCTCCGCCCGCCCCCCGCGCGGGGCTGCAGCGGGCAGCGCGGGGCGCCGCAGCCTGCGGGCGGCCGCCGTGCCCGCCGCCCCGGGCCCGGCGTGCCATGGAGGAGCCGCCGCCCGCCTGATCCCCGGCACCGAGACAAAGAGCGGGGCTGCGGCCGCGCCCGCCCGGTGAGTGCCGCTGGGGACCGGGGAGGGCGGGGGGCTCCTTCTTGCGCCGCGGGCGGCGGCCCGGGAGTAGATCTCGGTCCCGCTGCCAGCCCTGCCTGACACCCCCGAGCATCCCTTTCTCCGTTCACCCTTTCACGCGCGGACACCCTCGTCCGCCACCCCGCCAAGCCCAGCGCACCTAAAGCATCCTCATTCGTAGTCCGGCCACCCTCAGCCCAGACTGCCCTCCCGGCCCAGACACACGCCGTGCATCCCCAGCATCCCCGTTCCTTGCCGAACGATTCTGCGCTCAGTGCCCAAACCTGCCGGAGGACTCTGAACGCCCCCCGCCCCCGTCGCCCCGAACACCCCCGTCACCCCAAACGCCCCCGCGCGCACCACAGGGCACGACCCGCGCGTCCGAGAGCCTCCCGCACCACGCCCCTGTGCCCGACCGCCCAAACGCGGCTCCGCGCCTCGGGCACCCCCGCCCCCGGCACTGCCCCTCCGCGCCCAACACCTGCCGCTACCTGTCCCCTTCCCGCATAAACACAGCCCAGCCCAGGCACCCCCGGCGCACGGCCCGCCGCCCCCTCCCAGCCGCTCCTCGCCCCTGCCCGGGGACACAAAGGGGTCTGCGCGCCCGCTGCCCGCCCGCTCACCCGCCGCCGCTCTCTGCCCCGCAGGCCGAGCCATGGTGGAGCCGCCGGCCGAGCCTCCCCCGCAGCCCTGCCCGGCGCCCGGGGGGGCAGCGGGGGGAGAGCCGGCCCGTCCTGGAGAGCAGTCGCCGCTGCTGCACCTGGACCTGTACAACTTCGACTGCGCGGCGGCGGAGGGCAGCCGGTACGTGCTGACCAGCCCGCGGTCGCTGGAGGCCTGCGCCCGCTGCGCCGTGCGGCCCGTGGAGCTGCTGCCGCGGGCGCTGGGGGACCTGCTGAGAGAGGCGCCCGGGCGCTCCATGCGGGTGGCCGCCGGCCTCTACGAGGCCTACGAGCGGGAGCGCCGCCGCAAGCTGCAGCAGTGCCGGGAGGAGCGGGAGAGGATTATCCGCGAGGAGAAGAGGCGGATCCTCGCGCCCCTCGGCAGCCTGCCGCCTTCGCCCGCCGCTCGCGTCTCATCCCGGGCTGCGGCCGCAGCTGCCGGCGGGCCCCGGACCCATGGCGGGGGGAAGGCCAGGGCATCGAGGGGTGCCAAGGGCAAGAGCCACTCCCTGGACTCGCTGCAGAAGCGCCGCGAGGGTAGCTGGGGCAAGACTTCCTCCGAATCGGGCGCTTCGTCGTCCTACAGCGGGGAGAGCCTGCGGGAGCGCGGGGGCAAGGTGTGCGGCCGGGGTCGGGGGGTAGCCGCTGCCAATGGGGCTCTGCTGGGGCGCAGCTTCAGCCTGGGCGACCTCAGCCACTCACCACAGACTGCCCAGAGAGTCGAGAGGATCGTCAGGGAGGTGAAGAGGAAGAAGGGTCTCTCAGAGGTGCCAGAGAGAGACAAGAAGATCGCGGCGCTGATGATCGCCAAGCATCAGGAGGCCAACCTGCTGCGGGAGCAGCGGCAGGCAGCCCATCTGCAGTGGGACAGCCAGCGGCGCCTGGCTGAGCAGCGGAAGGAGCAGGAGGAAAAGCAGAAGCAGAGGGCCCTCCTGCAGGGTCAGCGGATGTGGGAGAGCCAGGTGGAGAAGCGGCGAGGGAGACTGAGCCAGGAGCAAGAGGAAGCCACCCTGATGAAGCAGAGGCAGCTCCTGGTGTGTGAGGAGAGGTGGCGGGAGCAAGCGGAGAAGCAGGAGCGGCTGCGGAGGGAGAGGCTGGAGAGGGCCATCAAGGAGGACAAGCAGAAAAAGCTCCATCAAGAGCTCAACCTCAAGGTGAAGGAAGAAGTTAAGAAGGAACATCAGGAGCGAGAGGAACAGCTCCTGCAAGAGAAACTGTCCACAGCTGCACAGAAGAGGCTGAAGAAGGAGGTGCAGCTGCAGAAGGAAAAGAGACTGTTCAACCAAGCAGAGAAGCTGAAGCATGAGGCCTTGCTCAAGGAACTGGCCAAGCAAGAGGCAGAAGAGAAGGAAATGCTGAAGGCATCCCTGAAGATGAGTTTGACAAAGGCTCAGGAGAACTACGAGCAGCTTGTGGAGAAGAGGAACCAGGAGCTGAGGGAGAAGGCCAGACGTGAGGACATGCAGATCCAGAGAGCTAAACTGGCAGCAGAGAAGAAGGATAGAGAGCAGAAGGAGCACTTGGAAGCACTGGCTAGAGAGACAGAGAGAAAGCTCCAGCATGCTGCCCAGGTGGCTGAAGAGGCTGTCCAAGAAAAAGCCCGCAAAGTGGTCTTGAGCCGTCTGGAAAAGGAAAAAGTGCAGAAGATGAACAAGCAAAAGGTAGAAGAGTATGAGGACTTACGGCGCAGGGAAATTCTCCTCTCTATAGAGAGGAAGCTGGAGAGAAGTGAGCAGATTTTCAAGGAGAAGAAGACTGTTTTAGAAAATGCCAGGTCTGTTGCTCGAGCGTCCTTCCATGTCCGGGAAAAGGTGCGGGAGGAGACGAACGTGCGCACCTTTGACAAGATGGCTTTCGAAGCAGAACTGCATGCTCACCTTAGTAAGAAATGAAAGATCTTGTCATGGATGAGTGAGGATGCACCACTGGTTATCCATTGTAATGTGACAGAAAGCTCCTCGGTATGAGCGTTTAAAAAATAACGAAAACAAACATCCACCCTAATTTCGTATTTTGGGGGAGCAGGGTACCGCACAAAAACGTGGCAGCTATTTCGCATACTGTTTTAAATACATTTTTCGTTCTGGGTGTGTTTTAAAGACTGACCTCAGTCATCTTTACAGAGAGGAAGCAAGTTTTTGTGTCCTCCACCCCACAAGCACATGCATTTTTTCAGAGGGCTGCAAAATCTGCTTGAACCTCTGAGTTACTGATTGATTGTTTACACCAGAGATGACTACAGCTGCACTCTCCAGCTGGAAATGCAAACAGAGGTTGCTGACTACTAGAGCCTGCTGAATAAGAACCAAAACCACCCAAGCTGATTCTGCCTGGAGTAACAGGCAGTTTGGTTTATGTTAAGGGACTGTATTTTCAAAGCTACTGCACTCCCATGCTGAAGTTGAAGAAAGTTGGAGTACAGAATGCCATATACCCTGGGTGCCCCTTGGCTTCTGCTAGTACCAAGCTAGGGAAAGCACAGATCAAGGGCGTGTAAGTAGATATCATGATGAGAGCTGGGCAGAAGCTGTCTGAAAGGGCTCACAAATACAATTTCGATTTTGCTTTTTGTAACTGTTACCCCTCCCAGGTATCCTCACCTCTCCTCCTTTCCAAGTTTCCCTTACCAACATCTGTAGAATTCCTTCTTTTCTTTTGGAGGAAGAAGAAAAGGAGAGAAATTTGTGGACAGTCCACAAACTGACGAGCACCCACACAAGCCAGTTGTTCATTAAGATATAAAAGTGAATGAACCTGTAGAATCTGGGCTTTGGGGGAAATACAGAAGTCACTTGTAAATGGAAATCACCACCCCAGGAATTCCCAAAACTCAAGAAGACTCTCAGCCACTTTATCCAATTTGCCCTGTCTTGAGCAGGAGGTTGGACCAGATGTTCTCCAGAGTTCCAGCCTTATAATTCTCATGAGCTGCATAAAATGAGACCTTCGCCCAACTCTTTATCATCGTCTACTACGCAGGGCAGCATTTCTCTGCCACTGGTGCTAAGAGTTGTATTCTTATATAGAGCACAAGAAAGAGTTGATGCACAAAGTAAGGGACGTTACAGACTCTCTTAGATGAGGATCATTTCTTTTTTATAAGAGTTAACTCAATACTCTTTAGAGGGAACTGAGTCCTTCTGCAAGTAAATACACCAGAAATGTGAAAAGCCTATCTGTGCCCTGTGCACTGCATTCAAGTACAACAGTGTTCTGCTCCAGGTTTCCACATTTA